GACCGAGTCCATCTCAGATAGGACCTCATCCATCAAATCCAGTAACTTCTCCTGTGACGTCTCCAATACAGCCAACAAAAGGACCAAGTCCTTCNAAGATAGGACCGAGTCCATCGAATCCAGTAACTTCTCCTGTGACGTCTCCAATACAGCCAACAAAAGGACCGAGTCCATCNAAGATAGGACCGAGTCCATCAAATCCAGTAACTTCTCCTGTGACGTCTCCAATACAACCAACAATAGGACCGAGTCCATCNAAGATAGGACCTCAACCATCAAATCCAGAAACTTCTCCTGTGACGTCTCCAATACAACCAACAATAGGACCGAGTCCATCNAAGATAGGACCTCAACCATCGAATCCAGTAACTTCTCCTGTGACGTCTCCAATACAGCCAACAATAGGACCGAGTCCATCNAAGATAGGACCTCAACCATCAAATCCAGAAACTTCTCCTGTGACGTCTCCAATACAACAAACAATAGGACCAAGCCCTTCNAAGATAGGACCAAGTCCTTCNAAGATAGGACCGAGTCCATCGAATCCAGTAACTTCTCCTGTGACGTCTCCAATACAACCAACAAAAGGACCGAGTCCATCTCAGATAGGACCTCATCCATCAAATCCAGTAACTTCTCCTGTGACGTCTCCAATACAGCCAACAAAAGGACCAAGTCCTTCNAAGATAGGACCGAGTCCATCGAATCCAGTAACTTCTCCTGTGACGTCTCCAATACAGCCAACAAAAGGACCAAGTCCATCTAAGATAGGACCTCAGTCCATCAAATCCAGTAACTTCTCCTGTGACGTCTCCAATACAGCCAACAAAAGGACCGAGTCCTTCNAAGATAGGACCAAGTCCTTCNAAGATAGGACCTCATCCATCGAATCCAGTAACTTCTCCTGTGACGTCTCCAATACAACAAACAATAGGACCAAGCCCTTCNAAGATAGGACCAAGTCCTTCNAAGATAGGACCGAGTCCATCGAATCCAGTAACTTCTCCTGTGACGTCTCCAATACAACCAACAAAAGGACCGAGTCCATCTCAGATAGGACCTCATCCATCAAATCCAGTAACTTCTCCTGTGACGTCTCCAATACAGCCAACAAAAGGACCAAGTCCTTCNAAGATAGGACCGAGTCCATCAACTCCAGTAACTTCTCCTGTGACGTCTCCAGTACAGCCAACAATAGGACCAAGTCCTTCNAAGATAGGACCGAGTCCAGTCGAATCCAAGAAACGACCCCAACGACGTCTCCAATACAACCAACAAAAGGACCAAGCCCTTCTAAGATAGGACCAAGTCCATCTAAGATAGGACCGCAATCCATCAAATCCAGAAACTTCTCCTGTGACGTCTCCAATACAACAAACAATAGGACCAAGCCCATCNAAGATAGGACCAAGTCCTTCNAAGATAGGACCGAGTCCATCAAATCCAGTAACTTCTCCTGTGACGTCTCCAATACAACCAACAAAAGGACCAAGTCCATCNAAGATAGGACCTCATCCATCAAATCCAGTAACTTCTCCTGTGACGTCTCCAATACAGCCAACAAAAGGACCGAGTCCTTCNAAGATAGGACCAAGTCCTTCNAAGATAGGACCTCATCCATCGAATCCAGTAACTTCTCCTGTGACGTCTCCAATACAGCCAACAATAGGACCAAGTCCTTCNAAGATAGGACCTCAACCATCGAATCCAGTAACTTCTCCTGTGACGTCTCCAATACAGCCAACAATAGGACCGAGTCCATCNAAGATAGGACCTCAACCATCAAATCCAGAAACTTCTCCTGTGACGTCTCCAATACAACCAACAATAGGACCAAGCCCTTCNAAGATAGGACCAAGTCCTTCTAAGATAGGACCGAGTCCATGAAATCCAGTAACTTCTCCTGTGACGTCTCCAATACAGCCAACAAAAGGACCGAGTCCATCTCAGATAGGACCTCATCCATCAACTCCAGTAACTTCTCCTGTGACGTCTCCAGTACAACCAACAATAGGACCGAGTCCATCNAAGATAGGACCTCATCCATCGAATCCAGTAACTTCTCCTGTGACGTCTCCAATACAGCCAACAATAGGACCGAGTCCTTCNAAGATAGGACCTCAACCATCGAATCCAGTAACTTCTCCTGTGACGTCTCCAATACAACAAACAATAGGACCAAGCCCTTCNAAGATAGGACCAAGTCCTTCNAAGATAGGACCGAGTCCATCGAATCCAGTAACTTCTCCTGTGACGTCTCCAATACAACCAACAAAAGGACCGAGTCCATCTCAGATAGGACCTCATCCATCAAATCCAGTAACTTCTCCTGTGACGTCTCCAATACAGCCAACAAAAGGACCAAGTCCTTCNAAGATAGGACCGAGTCCATCAAATCCAGTAACTTCTCCTGTGACGTCTCCAGTACAGCCAACAAAAGGACCAAGTCCTTCNAAGATAGGACCGAGTCCATCGAATCCAGTAACTTCTCCTGTGACGTCTCCAATACAACCAACAAAAGGACCAAGCCCTTCNAAGATAGGACCAAGTCCTTCNAAGATAGGACCGAGTCCATCGAATCCAGTAACTTCTCCTGTGACGTCTCCAATACAACAAACAATAGGACCAAGCCCTTCNAAGATAGGACCAAGTCCTTCNAAGATAGGACCGAGTCCATCGAATCCAGTAACTTCTCCTGTGACGTCTCCAATACAACCAACAAAAGGACCGAGTCCATCTCAGATAGGACCTCATCCATCAAATCCAGTAACTTCTCCTGTGACGTCTCCAATACAGCCAACAAAAGGACCAAGTCCTTCNAAGATAGGACCGAGTCCATCAACTCCAGTAACTTCTCCTGTGACGTCTCCAGTACAGCCAACAATAGGACCAAGTCCTTCNAAGATAGGACCGAGTCCATCAACTCCAGTAACTTCTCCTGTGACGTCTCCAGTACAACCAACAAAAGGACCGAGTCCATCNAAGATAGGACCTCAACCATCAACNGAAGTGATTTCTTCAGGTTTTTCAAANAATGTGCCTACGCAGAGTCAGAATTGGGAGAGAATCAAGTAGCCAAAATATAGGTACTACAAGTTGTTTTAACAACGACTAAGAATTTTCATCATCTTCCAGAACTAGCGGAAGTTTTTAGTGGAGGAAGCCGTACAAAATATCTTTCTCGAAATTTGTTTTCTTTCAGTTTAGACGATGGCTTCTACTTTTTACCTTCAACTCAGAAACTCAAACTGAGTATTTAAGGGAATATCATCTGGAAGGATATTTTGCTTGAATATGTCACTTAAGAGTAAAGTTTTTTCTTGTTATGTTATATTCTGACTATTTTACGTTGAAAATTGTGCAGAGCTGCAACTGTCACGTCCTAACAGGTTCTATTCACCTCTCAGAACTGTACGAGTCATTCCGAGTAACTACAAAAAGAAGTGATGTGCAAACTTGGCACGTATTCCATCCGTGAGTAATTAACATTTGACGTTACTTGAGACAGCGGTTATGCTTCAATAAAAGTAAAATTGAAGTGCTGTTGAAAGCTACACTACGATAAAACGTAAAACTCAACTAACAACAAAA